TTATTTTCAATATATTTCCACCAACCTCTGATATATTTCACCGAATCCCCAATATAATTCACCCAACCTCCATTATATTTCACGTCGATGTAATATATCGGCGATATATTTCACCCAACCTCCGATATAATTCACCCAACCCACGGTTAATTTCACCTTTCGAAAATATATTTCACTAGACCATCGGTATATTTCATGGAAAGTAAATTAAAACAACAAATCTATGACATCGACGGCTCAAGCACCAACATCCATGTCTTCCATGTTCTCAGCACAGACATAAAACGGCTCAAGGCGGGCCGTGTACACATGCAAACGATTCGGCTCAATTCCTAATTCATTCTTGAGTTAAATACGATTTGAATGCACTGAGTACCTGCAATTGCATCGTCAGCTGTGTGTTCCAAGTATTGCATGCGAAACTCATTACGAGTCTGTCCGTTTGGTGATGACCCCATAGAGGCCGCGACTCGTTCGCGCAAAGATGTCTTAATGCGGCTCTTTAACGCCGACCACATATTCTCGATCGGGTTCAACATCGGAGAGTACGGCCCTAGTTTTAAGAACGAAGCGTCTTGAAACTCGACTTCTTCTAACACGTTTCTCAATCTATGCAAAACAAGGTTAGCAATAGTATGTATAAATCATACCTTGAGTGACATGGGGCATTAACAGCAATGACAAGAACATCGGCAAGTCCACCAAAATGCTCGTTGGCAGCACGCAGCATTGTTTTGAGCCACTCGTTGGCATGAAGCGACTTTAACGCCCCACGTCGACGGATGCAGAACACAAAATTGGTCGCCGATATTGCACCAATAATGTGCAAGTTTTTCCCCTTCTGAGAGCATCCACGAACAAACTTCGCCCGTGTGTTCTTCTTTGATCGTCCCTTCGTTCGGAAGGTGAAGAGGTTGAAGTTGGTTTCATCAATCCAGATCGGAACTTTGCCTTGAATGATGTGTTCACGTAGTTGTTGAACGTATTCCGAACGTTTGTTTTTGAAACTTTCATCGTTGAGCTGCAGTAGCTCGTAATGGAGGTCTTTGTAGGTGAAGACACGCTCCTCCAGCGCACGGTGTAGACTCGTTTCCGAGATGACGATATCGTAGTCCACTTGAATGCGTGCTTTGAGCTCGGCGAGAGTGATTTGGCAGTCAAACTCCACCCATGCCTCCATTGTGTCCACGAGCTGGTGCGACAGCTTTCGTAGTTTGTAGCCACCTGATCTTACATATGAAAAGGGAATGTGTATGATACGTAAGTTACCGCGTTGTTTTGGTGTCAAAGAGTCCAGCATGAGCCAACCTTTTGCGGTGGACTCGTTGATTCCGTTGGCGCGAGCAACAGACTTCCAGTCTTGTCCTGCATCGTGCGCTGCCACCACACGTCTCTTGGCAGAGAGTGGTATTCGCTTGTAGGGGCCACGTCTGGGTGGCTGTACGTCATGTTAGTGGTCATTCGTACTAAACAGAGAGACGTACCGGAGTTTGTGGTGCAGGGACGGCCTCTTCCATAGAGCGCAGATTCAAAAATGGTGAAAGCGCGCGAAGAGTTTCGCGCGCTTCGATCTTTCTAGAATCCCAGCTCGAATTATAACAACTGTTAGGTGAATTATTTTTTCGAAAGGTGAAATTAACCGTGG